CTAAGCTCAGCTAGCCATTGTCCTCATTTTGGATTATTTTCTTATTCTAGTTGTATTCCTTTTTTATGTGAAATTCTGTCATTTCAGTTCCTGCTTTCGATTTAACATCTCTATAAGCACTACTTTTTAATAACTACAGGTAGAATTAGATATGTTTAATTTAGGAGATCAATATTCCTACTCTGAATATTGTTGTCTTAAACAAAATCTGCTCTGAACAAACATTTGCTTATTTGTTTTAATTTTAAAAGGAGTAAATGGAGATAAACCTGCAGTTGTGATATATTGAACAAAAGAAAATTATTTAAAAAGCTAAATTAATGCTCAGCCTTCAAATTTTTCTTTATAAATATTATACGTGTCCACACTCTATTGTGATTATATTCTTTCTCCTTCCTCTCCCCCTCAAATTCCTACAGCACTTTTCCCAACCATTTGTTCCTATGTGGAACTTCATTTGTCCTTCTTTTTCTTTCACAATTCCCAAGAAAATTGCCATCCTCTCCTCTATCGTCCATCTTTTCAGTTACAGGCGGGGTCTCATGACATCCTTCATTACCCACACTGAGATGTGGTTGGAAGATGCTTGGTTTTGTGCAGGTAAACCAGAGTTGACATGAAGTTGTGAGTACAACAGCCAGGTCCTGCCAGATGACAGCATTTCCTCATCCTCTGTTCTAGAGTTTTCACATCTTCTGTTAGCTCACTTGTGTGGGATTTTCCCAGCTTCTTTATGTAGGCATTTAGTGCTATGAACTTTCCTCTTATCACTGCTTTCATTGTGTCCCATAAATCTGGTTATGCTCTGTGGTCATTTTCATTGAATTTTAGAAAGTCTTTAATTTATTACTTTATTTCTTCCTTGACCATTAGTGCTTCAGGTGAGCATTGTTTAATTTTTATGCATTTGAAGGCTTTCTGAAATTAGTATTGCTGTTAAATTCTAATCATAAAATATGTTGATCTGATAAGATACATGGGGTTATTCCAATTCTTTTGTATCTGTTGAGGTTTGGTTTGTTACCTAGTAGACTCAGAGATTCACCTCTCTAGGTGTAGGTTGGATTTTATCTTTGTACACAAAACAATGAATATTCTCCTTTTCCTTCATACCATTTACATCTTCTGCCTTTTATTTATTTATTTATTAAAGATTTCTGTCTCTTCCCCCCAGCCGCCTCCCCTTTCCCTCCCCCTCCCCCAGTCAAGTCCCCCTCGTTAGTCCAAAGAGCAGTCATGGTTCCCTGCCCTGTGGAAAGTCCNNNNTCCCTCCCCCTCCCCCAATCAAGTTCCCCTCCCTAATCAGCCCAAAGAGCAATCAGGGTTCCCTGCCCTGTGGGAAGTCCGAGGACCACCCACCTCCATCCAGGTCTAGTAAGGTGAGCATCCAAACTGCCTAGGCTCCAACAAAACCAATAGGTACAGTAGGATCAAAAACCTATTGCCATTGTTCTTGAGGTCTCATCTTCTGCCTTTTATCAAAATCCACTTAAGTCTTAATTCATTCAACAAATGCCTGATTTGTTGACAAAACCCCCAAATAATCCAGATGTATTCTTAGAACTGGAAATCCTAGAGCAGAGCATGGTTTCATCTTTGAGGAGTGTGGTATATTTAGCTAACATCTGAGTGTGAAGTGGTCCATGCCACTAATGTTGTGTACAAGGTTGCTTAAGGTATACATTAGTTATTCTGAATAAAGCTGGCCGGGAGCAAGAAAGTCTTCCCTGAGCAGAAGATGACACTTAAATTCAGTTTGTATGTCAAAGGAGTATTATCCAGTTGACACTATGACCTTATTCATGCACAACTGTTTGGAACAATTAGCTCATTCTGGAATGGTTGATCTTGAAAGCCTGTGTACCAGAGGAAGAGAGATAGTAATTGACAAACATTTGCTTTAATCAACCTATGTGTTTGGCTTTTAACCTCTGAAATTGTCAATAATAAGATGATCAATTAAAATTCCCTCTAGTTTTAAAATGTTCTTTGTTCTCCTTTCATAAGTGGTCAAGAATTGTTTCTTTTAAAAATATGAAATTATGTAATGTCACTTTTTTAAATCTTCAAAAAGTATTTCTTTGGATTTTGTTTGTAATATAAATTAGCCATTCAATTAATTTTTATAAAAATTAGCCCTAGTGGGGTAAATTTTTATTAAGTCGTAATATCCTAGCGTCTAGCATTCTATATTTTATGCTTTAGAAACAACTATTTTTATAATATTGTCTGAGTTTTCTAAGATTCTTGAATCCCTTTTACTTAAAATTTACAGGAATTTTTTACATATTTTGAACATGTAAATAGGAAGTCTATTTTTTCAAAAGCTCATATTATCATATTCTTTCACAGATCATAAAATTAGCAACAGTTTTTATTTGTTTGTATTTTGTCTTTTGAATACTGAACTGCGTGTATTGTCTTTAAGCATTTTTATGGTGTCTTAAATTATCACTGACAAATTTGTTAACTCTGTTTCTGCTTTAATCCAGTTAAATTAATTTAAAGAAACATTTTAAGTTTTAATTATAGAATTCTGATATACATAATAAACATTCTTTCTTACTGAGAATTTTTGTGGCTTTATAAAATCAGCATGTACACATTATATGTATGGTATAGATGTATTGTACACATATGTCATATATTCCTATGTCTGTGTTTGCATGGCTACAAATTTGTATGTGTATGTGTGTGTGTGTGTGTGTGTGTGTGTGTGATATGTTCTTTAGACATAGCAATATATTCATTAGCTTGCAAATCCTGAAGGACAAGAATGTTTTCTTGAGAAGATCAGTGAAATTTTACTCATTCCCAAGGTGACCGCATATTATTTGCAGGGTTCTGTTTATGGTGGGAGTTCCTAGTGTGACATCTGTTTCCTAATTATCACATGTACTCTGACTGCTGATATTCTATGATTTCTAAGGGAGAATACTATGAAATAGTTTTTATCACAATGATTTGCATTGTTAAGGTAGAAATCCACACATAATCACATGATATTTCTTTTTTTTTTTAAATCAAAGTAGGCTTATTTAAATATGTTCTTGCAAACCGGAGAGCATTGTATTTGGGTGTTAGATTTATGAGAATTATCTATAGTATCTCATTTTATAAGATACCATTCTTTAAATAGAGTTGCTGAAATTTGGTGTCCTTTACATGGGTTATGTTTTCAAAAACAATGTTACTACGTATGCATGTTGGTACACCAATCATTCTTAGAGCCAAGAAAAATATCAATACAGACAAATGGTTCAGCTTCTGAAATGGCGAATTAAAGGGCATTGTTCAAACAAATTGAGGACTTATTTATCTTATAATAAGACATCAAAAAAACTTAGTAAATGTCAGGATCATGTAATTGTCCTACCTTTCATGTCAGTTTCAAGAAACGTGTCTTAGTTCCAATATCATATCCCAGTTCCTGGCAGCACAAAGAGTGGATGTGAAGACTTGGAAAGAATGTTTCCTAATATTTTCCTAATTGGGTGGCATGTATGAACATGCATGTTAAGAGCATGTGAGAAGTGATATTTTTAACATTGCCTATATGGCATCCAAGAAAATTATAGCTTTCTTAGTCAAGGAAAAGAAAGCAATTTACAATGAGAAAGCAATAGCAACCTTGCATCAGAATTCACACTGGACATATCTTTCTCTGCTTCAGTAATGTGACTTCAGTAATGCCTGTTTAATTTGGCCAAAACCCAAACACAGGTGTCTCTGTCTTCTGATTCACTTCTATCTTCACCCTACACACTCAGTCACAGATAACTTAATTAATAGAATTATTTATCTTATCTTCTTTCACCATACAGATTATTTACTACCCAGCATGCAATACATTTTATTCTTAGACATCCATGCAGAACCAATGTCTACTTTAAAAAATCATTAAAATTACTCCCCCATGTCATTGGAAGAGTTAATACTCAAGTTAGAGAAAAAAAAGGTACAGAGAATATGAGCAACTGATGCCTTTGGGAGTAGAATAAAGACATACAATTGCCTCTGATTATAGGTTAGCAAAGTTTCTGTTTACTGAAAATGAGTGAGCAATTTATAGGATATTTCACAACACTTTAATGATGTTATTCAGTCATAAAGTTATGTGAACAGTTGAGAAATGGGGAAATATACCATCCACTTTCCATATCCTAAAAATGCTTTTCAAAACCCTGTAGTGAAATTTTAAATTGTGTTGGAGTACTAACAGTGAAATACTCTTGCCAGGACTGCAGGTGGAAAAGGGAGCTTCAGGAATCAGATAAGCCGAAAAGCTGTGGAGACAATGTGGAGTAGAACAAGTACTATACAAATCAGCCTTTGCAAACCATTTATTCAGCTAGTCCACTATCTCTTCAGAGCAAATATTAATGGAATTCTTAGTAGGCCTGTCTCACTATATAAAATAGGCAAACTGAAAATTTGGGGGGAGAGGGTAAAGGTTAAAGGTATTCTTAAACCTATTTTCCTTTTTTTTTTTTTTTTTTTTTTTTTTTTTTTTTGGTTTTTCGAGACTTTTTTTTTTTTTTTTTTGGTTCCTGTCCTGGAACTCGCTCTTGTAAACCAGGCTAACCTCGAACTCACAGAGATCCTCCTGCCTCTGCCTCCCGAGTGCTGGGATTAAAGGTGTGCGCCACCACCGCCCGGCAAACCTATTTTTCTTATAGAAGTTTAGTCTATTAGCAAGAAAACATGTTATCTCGCTCTCTTTTTTATTAAAATATAATACTTTTATTAATATATAAAGCTACATGGCATGCTTAAAACAGGAGGGTTTAATGGTATAATTGTATTCTAACAAAATATTACAAACTAAAAATAGAAAAAATTAAGCATTCATTTGTTATTCTTGTTATTTCACCGTGAATTTCTAGTGTTGGGCCGAGGTTATCATGATACAGTAGGCTGTAAAGAATTTACATGAGGTACAGCAGGTATAATCTATTTGTCAGTCAGATCATTATCTATTTGGTTTCAATTTATTTCAGTGATTGGTGATGATGGACTTTATATCATACTGAAGGGTCTTGCTCGACCTCAGGTAAAGGTATTAAGAAGTCTGACTGATGATGAAGACTCGGTTATCTCTTCAATATCCAGAGAAAGCCTTGTTTTTGATGCACAGTTGAAAGACTCCACAGTGGCTGAGATATACCTGCCTTCACCGCAGTTAGTGGTAAGAAGTTTTAGCTTTTGTAAAGACAGAGTTAAAACTATAACAAAATTTTTGTATCTTAGATTTCTAGATTCCAAAATCTTCAGGCACTCAAGTTTGCCCAAATAAGGTAGCCTTAAAATGTAAATGACACTGATGCTATTGACCTTAACATTTGATCAAGACTATTAATGAAGGAATCCTTTAGAAGCATATTGCACACTTGCAATGGCTGTGTGTTGCAATATATACACTTATAAGACATAAGCAAGGCTGATTCAGTGGAAGAGGAATTGTGCTAGCTTTGGGTGAAGAAGCAAGAGCAGATGACTTGAAGGGGGATAGACAAAAATGTGTTTTTATTATGCTTTTCTTCAAGCATTTTTTTTTGAGACAGGGTTTCTCATACCTTTGGACCACTTCCTGAAACACTCTGTAGACAAGCTGAGCCTTGAACTCACAGAGATCCACCTGCCTCTGCTTTCCAAGTGCTGGGATTAAAGGCATGCACCACCACCACCCAGATATTATGTTTTTCTTAAAAGCAATACTAAAGGAACCAAGGAGTTGATCTCATTATAATAACTAAGACATTATTATATTTTTTCTTATAGACAATCTATCAACATAAAAATGCAAGTTTAATCACTTTTGGATTTGTGTAGACTCCTTATGGATGTTAGATTAGTGCTTTTTCTTTCCTTTTTTATTAAATACTTTAAAAATTTTTTAAAATGACCTCATTTTCCCTTTTCCTGTTCCTTCCTCCAATCCTTCCATATCTGAATCCTTCTTGCTCCCTCTCAATTTATGGCCTCTCTTTCTTTAATGTTCTTTAATTGTTTTTGTTACATGTATAAAAATCGAGGCAGGAAGACTCACCCTAAAACGCAGAGCCACCGTAATATGGCTTTTATCTCTCTCTGCCTCCTAGCAGTGGACTGGATGTGATCAATGCCTTGCACTCTTGCCCTGGCGACTGCCTATATCTTCAGATATTAAACCTACACAAATTCTTCCTTACTTACACTGCTTCTGTCAGGTATTTGTCACAGTGAGAAGAAAAGACAAATGTCTCTTTCCTCAGAGATCTAGTTTTCCTTCCAGAGGTTTTTTGGCTCCTTTGCTGTTTATTTCTAAATATGTTTTTGAGATTGATATGTATAGAATTATAAGCATGGTATCTTTCTCTCTGCTTGTTGTTGGTGTAAGAACTAATTCTGATGTTTCTAAGTCAATTTTGCATCCTGCTAATTTGCTGCCCTGATTGATAATTCCTACAAGTTTTCTGGTGGAGTTTTTCAGTGCTCTTATTATAAGAAGATATCATCTGCAAGCAGGGATATTTTGACTTCTTTGCTGATTTGCATCTCTTAAATTTCCTTCTCTTACCTTATTGCTTCAGATGATGCTTTGAGCACTAAATTGAAAAGAGGTGGGGGTGGTGGACAGCCCTGTCACAATCCTGTTTTTAATGGGTGTAGCACGAATAATAAACACCCAGAGACAGATATAGGGGTTAAAGCTGTAGATCAGAGAAGTAGAACAGTAGTAAGTCACTACAGAGACATTTTACATCTACCAATGATCAAACTGAAGGGGCAATCTTCAGACTGCCTAGAGTGCGCTGTGTCTCTACCAAACCTCAGACTCCACCCTCCAGTGAGTTCCTGTCTCTTCCCCTTTATATTCCTTTCCTCGCCCAGTTAAATAGATCCTGTCTCCACCTCCCTAGTGCTGGGATTAAAGGTGTGAGCCTTTATATATTACTGAATTGATATTTTTATTTCAAGGAACATTTTTTAATTGTTTTTTTTTTATTGACCTATAAGTCTTTCTCCACTTTCGTCCCTTCCTCCCCTCCCCTCCTTTCCTCTCCTATGACCCCCATGCTCCCAATTGACTCGAGATCTTATTATTTTCTACTTCCAATGTAGATTAGATCCATGTATGTATCTCTTTGGGTCCTCTTTGTGGTCTAGGTTCTTGGGGATTATGAACTGTAGGCTGGTATTTCTTTGCTTTATGTCTAAAGGCCATTTATGAATGAGTAGTTATATATTTGTCTTTCTTGGTCTGGGTTACCTCACTATTTTCCCACAAATTTCAAGGTGTCATTACTTTTTTTCTGCTGTATAAAACTTCATTTTGTAAATATACCATATCTGCTTTATCCATTCTTCGGTTGGGGGACATTTAAGTTGTTTCCAGGTTCTGGCTATGACAAATAATGTTGCTATGAACTGGAGTTGAGTACATGTCTTTTTGATATGATTGAGTATCCTTTTAGTATATACCCAAAAGTGGTATTGCTGGGTCTAGAGGTAGTGAGCCATCAGATGTGGGTTCAAGAAAGGAAATCTATTCCCCTGCAGTAGCAGTGAGCCCTCTTAGCCACTGAGCCATCTCACAAGACCCTAGAATATACCTTTAAAATCTTCTGCTAAATGCATGCTAAAGAGGAAGGAATGGGGACTGAATGATCTCAGATCAAATTCTAGTCCTCTTGTTTGTGGACTATGGGAATCTGGGGGAACATAAGACTCTTCACTGTTGTTAGGTTTTATCCTTTACCTTATCAACTTGCAAAGAATAATGGAGACAACTTGTGAATATCCAAGAAACCAAATGGCCATCCATGGTCAGAGAAATGGGGAAAATAAAACTGAGAAAAGGCCACTGAAGACGTAGAAAGCATAGGAAATAAATTCTCTGCATGATAAAAATTTACTGAATAGTTAAAATTTTTATGTAACTTAATGACTGACTAAAATTATTCCTGTGCACAAAAGTAAAACAGAGTATTAAATGGTGATTAGAGTATAATAAAGTAAAGAGAATAAAAAGTAAAACAAAGAAAAAGAAAAAAATAATAAATGAAACCCTTTAAACACCTAATTATTCTAATTTGTTCCTGTAATCAGCCATCTAGATTTGAACACTTAACCTTTGAAACATTTGCCTCAAGTTTCAAGAGAAGCTGGGATTAGAGAGCATAATACCGTGTCTATTTTTAGAAATGCTTTAAATATACTTTATATATAATGCTTTATATATATATATATCTTTGATTATTTTTTCTTTTTTTACTGATGGCCAGTTGTATATGCCAATGTGACTAGACTAAGGAAGTTGGTAGCTGGCAAAACATTATTTCTGGGTGTGGTATGCCTCCTGGTTGTTCAGTAGACTGAGAGATAAGAACCACCCTTATCAATGTGAGTGGTCAACCTTTTGTCTATTGAAAAATGGAACAGAACACAAGAGTAGAGAATGGTGAATTGGCTGTTTATTGAGTTGAAACATGAAGATTTTGGTGCCCTTGGTAATTTATTATATTATATATTGAAACATAGTGTCTATGTGTTGTACATAGACTTAGCATATTTTTATGTTCTTGATATGTGTAACTATTTTATTAATAGCGTTGTAGAATATTATTTTAAGGTGTGTTATTTTTGTTTGTGCTCAGGATCATTTAATCAATGATGCAAAGATGTGTTTGATTAAGTAAAATTCACCTGCAGTTAGGAAGTTGAATCAGTAACTAGCTGATGGGAAGTTGTAGGGAGAAGCCAGGTGGAGAAAGGTTTTTAAGGAGGGAGAAGAAGCAGGAGGGTGAGCTTCTTGCTATTTAGTCTCTCTGAGGAGCAGAATTTCACAACAACCTTTGAATCTCTTTAGAGTTCTTTAGAAGGACAGAGATTTAGGTAAATTCCGTTTGTAGTTTTGAAAGAGTTGGTGCTGAGGGAACAGAATTCCCTCCAGCCCTGGCTCTTGCCCCTTAGTCTTAACAGCAACTGGTGGAGTTGCAGTTGCTGATAGGACAACCATGGCTTAAACGGGAGCAACAATTTAAAGAAAAGGACAAGTTTGAGAACTTTTTTTTTTTTCCTATTAGAAAAGCTTTGGTTTTTGCTTTTTTTTTTCCTCTAAATCCTCACTGATACAACTTGACCAGGGTCCCTGATCAAAAGTAGGCATATAAATATTTAGTGTGGTTCTGCCTATTATAGTAGTATATTAGAAAAATATAAATACTTGAAAGTATCTTTTTTGAATAAATGATTATCTTCTGGACTTTTCCTTATGTTTAGTTTTATAGACATTTTCATACCTGGATGAGTTTGACATAATAGATTCTGCCTTGGATAATAAGGCTATGGTGGGCCTGCCTGAGATCTCATGTGAGATCTTCAAATTCCCGCTGTGACATGAGGGACTAACTGAGGTTATAATAGAAACAGGAGGTGGGCTCTAGGATTAGTTCTGAGGATGAGAAGGAGACTTCCCCAGGTCCTAGTGGAACTCTCTTCATATTTTGTTTCGTGTCTCTTGGCTAAATAATTTTTATATATGCACACTATCAATATTCTCTAATATCTTTGTGTTCCTTTCTTCTGAGTTAAATATCAGAAAGAATTTTAAGCATGTTAGAAACAGTCCGTATTATTCATTTACACTTAAATTTGTAGTAATCAACAATGCTTTTTGCTTTTAGCATCATAGTATTCAAACTCTGTGCATTATTTTTCCTTTGGTAGTGTGTTGTGTTTTTCTGACTGAAAGTCATCTTAAAGTTGTTTGTTCAGCATAATATACAGAACCAGCATCTTGTTTGTTTTTCTCAAGCTCTACATTGCCATTTTACGTAAATATAATTTCCAGGTTGTAAGTTACTCTACCTGAGCTCTTTGAAGATGGCAGTATTTACAGAACAAAGTAGAAATATTATAAAACTGAAAAATTTAAAACCAATTCAATGAAATAATTACAAAGGAGAGAGGCACTGAAAGCCTTACGATTTCACAATTAATATTGCAGGGTCCAGTGATTATGACTAGTTGAACAAGAAAGAAAGTTTCCATAAGTATTTAGAAGTTGTTGTGAACCGGTAAATTGGACAAATTTGGACTAAATTGGGACTGGGTAATAACATTAAGAAATTCTGAGGAACATAAGGGATAAAATGTCTGCTTGAAATTCTTAGTAACAGTTTTGTAAGGGGGCAGCTGGAAGAGCAGAATAATTAAGGTTCATCTCTCAACTCAGAACCTGAGTACTGAGCACTGACAGAACTCATTCTTTATGTGTTCCTTTATTTGAAAAGCTTAATTTTGCAATCACTGTCAATCACAGACTATGTTTGCAACATTCTTTTTGGGTTCTTCTGAAGTTTTGATGTATGTCCATCTGCCAATCTGCTCAACACCCTTAATTCTATTCCTTCCACAATTATATATTTTAAGAACTAATTAAATGTTGTATATGAATTCAATTTGATTTGCTTTATTCTGTATGTATCCTTTCAGTAAATTTTATTTACAGTTTTAATTGTTATTTTCCTTCCAAAATATTTTTGTTGTTTTTTATTTCATGTTTTGATTTTATGTCTAAATAAAATCACTGTTCAATGTGAATAGGTTCTTTCGTTTGTCAAAAACATTCATTGTAGATTTTTCTTCGTTGGTGTTCAGTCATGTATATAACTTGCAGTCTTATTAATTAGCCATCCTAAGGCTATTTGCTTCTGTGGGATTTCCTTTCTTAGGAAGCTTACACATGACTTTAAACATTTATATCTTCCTGGTTTGTCATTAGAATTTGCATTAACTAGTCTGCTGTGGGTCTTCACTATGTGAAAATGGGAACCCACACACATACAAGTTGCAGAGCTAGATAGCTCATTTTCTGAAAATTCTGTCAAGTCTCATAGCTGAAATGTAACTTCCTGTTTTTCTCGTGGATTAGTGTATGCAGTTTTTTCTTGTCTGCATTTTACATTCGTAGTGTTCATCAGACTTCCTAGGCGTTAGGATCAATTCCAGTTTCCCACCTTGCATGATAATGAACCCTATGTTCTATCCTACATTTGAACAATCTCCAGAACTCAGTCGTTCATGACCTCATCCCAGTTAAACAGCAATGTGGATCACTTTGTCCTCAACAGTGATTCTCTTGTTTAAATGCCCTCTTTCTTTAGGAATTACCGCGCCAAGCTCAACTATTTATTTCTTCAAGAAGAAAAAGAATAAGTCTTTCTCTGTATTATACATGCAGTAGTGACTATCTGCCACCAAACAGTATCTTGAGTAGTCATATAGATTTGTTGTTTTAAGGAAGTTCAAATTTCATGTAAATATGCCACTTGTTATTCATATTCTCTAGAGTTTTTCCTAGGCAAGCATAGCATAGATACTCCATGTGACAATGAATTGTCTCTTTTTACCATGGTGACCTATATAGTCTACTGATAACATTCTGTTTAATGTTTATCTCTCACATATTAAATTAGATAACCCTACATAAATACACACATATAAATGATTTATCCATGAAGTAACACTGTATTCATTTTATTTGCCACTACAAACATACAAGGCTATTAATAAAGAAACTGTATATTGAGTATTTGCAGCCTGCTTTCATCAAATAATTATTTAATTTTGACTGTATATCAAGTGCTTTTCTGGAACTTCAGGGGAATGGCTGAATAAATAAAGCAGGATCCTTTCTTATGTTATTTTCTTGATGTTGCCAAAGAATAAAAATTGTGTGGAGAGAAAGGCATGTCTGGAGCTGCATGAACCATCTCTACAGAGATGAGTGACCCCTTCTCTCATTGCACCAGAAATACGAATGCAGCTTTTTTGCAGGCTCACCTAGATGGGTCGTACAATTCTCTCCGGTGTCATTGTGCGTAGGTGTCAATGAGCACTGCTGAAGTCTGTCTGCTATTGATGCTTTCCACAGCTGAAAAAGTGGAGTACCTTTGGCTCACTGGAAGTTATGTCTGAGACTGAAATGGATAAAACTCTACGTTCAGTGGTGACCGAAGAGGACTGTGAAATCCTTAAAATTCCTGCAAAGGAGTTTGAGAAGTTAAAATTGGTATGGTGTGCACACCTATGTTACTTTTGAAATTTGAGTTGATTATAGATAGCATATATTGGGTTTATTTGATGAACAACACTTTGTTCAGGTACCTGGCATGGAAGTCAGGTTCTCCGTTGATGTGTATTCTGAAAACTCTTTAGCTTTTTATGAATTTCAAAATCATCCAGTTAGCAAATAGGTAGTTTGCATATCAACACCATGCTATTTCAGACAGGTCACATCACTTTTGCTTTCAAGATCTCAATAGTCTGCACTATCATTTTCTTCAGCACCTAGGCTAGTCACTTTCTGTCAGCTTGACACAGACCTAGACATACCAAGGAAGAGGAGATTTTAGTTAAGGAATCACCTCTATCCTAAGGAGTTATGGGCATATCTATGGAGCATTTTCTTGATTGCTAATTGATGCGGAGGGCCACATTATGGGTGTTCCCATCCCTGGACAGGTGAACTTGTGTAATATGAGAGAGGTAGCTGAATAAATTGGGAAAGTAAGCCAGTAGGCAGCATTTTCCCATGGTCTCTGCTTCTGTTCCTGCTTCCTGCCTTGAACTTCTATCCTGGCTTCTCTAGAGGATGGGCTGTAACTTGTAAGCTGAAATAAATGCTCTTTTCCTCACATTGTTTTGGGTTATTTTGCTTACTAAAACAATAGAGAAGCCATATAGGACAGAATGTTTGACATGCTATTTCAGAGTCATTTAAACATGCAAAACCAGGACTGTATAAAAGGTATTTAAACTTAATTCTGAGCATTCAGATGTGATGTTTAGGACAATTTGTTTATGCAAACTCATTTTTCTTCCTTTATTTAGAGGGTAGAAAAGCTTATTTAAATGTTGAGTTTGGAAGGTCCCCATAGTCTTCCTGACAGGTTCGAATGGAGATCCAGACCCTTTATGGTACTTGTAGGTCCAGTGCTCATGCTGGGAGGAGATAAAGATGCCTCTTTTCTCTTGCTTAGAATCTCAAAGAATAAAAATTTCTTTTGATGTGGTGAGTTCAAAAACAGGTGACTTTCTCAGAATTCAATATTTTCCCAAATGCTAGGTATCAATACATGTGAGTTTCAGAATGGTTTGCTTAAGGACATTTCCTTGATTTGTTGTTTTCCCTCATCAGAATCAGCTACACACACACACACACATACACACACATCTCTATGTACACATGCACACACATATATCTCTATGTACACACATACATACACACATCTTTTGAGTCATCTATAACAGCTTTAAAATTATTTAACATTTTTAGACATGTATAACATTATGGAAAAAAGTGAGAATATTGGTAAACAAATCTGAAAATTAAAATTTCAGTATAGTTATTGACCATGTGATAGTCAAATTCTATTCAATATTATTTTATATTGAATAATAGTCATACAGTTGTTACTTTTATTTTTCTACTATTTCTCTATTTGCTAGTTTTTTCTCATTCTTAAATTATCTCATTTTGAAATTTGATGATGGCATTCTTTTTCAGGAAAAAGTAAAGCGTGATAATGTGCAAAAGTTGAAATTAATTCACAAATGTCCTTTTTACGAAAACTGGCCTACTTTATCCATATGCGAACTAGTTTCACTTAGTAAATGGAAAATATTTCCTCCAGGTCATGGTAAGTTTAATTCAATTTTAGACTAGTTTCTTTATGTAAAATTATATTATTGGAATTTGTAATTCTTTATAGTTTCAATATTTTAAATAATATTTCTTCATATAGGCAGTCTCTTATTTAACAAATTATTACCTATGATTGGATATTTAAATTAATTCCCTTTTTAGCTAAAAAGTGAACGTGCTTCACTTAAGAGCAGCGTTAGTACAGTCCTGCATCCCTCATCTCCGTCTCTCCACACTTCTACTGCTGCACGCAGACTCACAGTAGGGACCAAACTGGCAATGATGAAGGCAGGAGGTTACATAGCCAGGGTTTCCTCACTCTCTTGTTTGGGTAAGTTCTTAATCACAAGTTTTCAATGGACATCTGTGTTATAGTCATCAGTGAAAATGTAGCAGCTTTATAAGTCATCAATCACCTAGGGAAGTCTTTGAAAAGGAAATATTTCTGATTCAGATTTTACGACTTTTAGAATATTTTATATACTTATAGAGGTACTTTTGGGATGGTTAGAAATGCTAAATATGAAATTCATATAAACTCAAGATTTATCTCCTGCATAGTGGCTATAATTTGCACTTTATATTTTGTATTTATATTTTATATTTATATTTTGCACAACCATCCTGATTGTGATCTGTTACAGGAGGTGAGATGCATGTGGCATTATGCTGGGATTAAAAAGTTTATAATTTAGCTGTTGTCTCCATAAGGGAAGCAGCAAGGGAAAGCCTGTGTGTTGAATAGCCAGTCTGAGGTGTGAGCAAGCATGAACTTTCTAGGGTGGGTTCACAGGAGAGCATAGCCAGAACTGGATTTTCTTACGTCCTGTGAGAGCCAAGTAAACAAGGGAGAGCAATGGAGGAAGACATGTGAAAGTGATGGTGGAAATCTGTTTATAGTAAGGAGCTCTGCTGTCCTACCAGAGACAGACATGAACATCAGAATGAGCAGAGAGACTTTACATTTCTCTCCTCTCAAACGCCTTTCAAGAAATATCATTTCACAAAGCCACAGAGCTGCCATGGCAGGGAGGTTAATTTCAAATTTGGCTGAGATTAAATCTCCCACAAGTTTGACTATGTTATAAATCTTAGACTATGACTAGGTTAACCTTGGGAGTAATCACTAGTTAACGGGGAAACGAGTTTCAATTCAGTATGATACAGAATGTACTGCTTGGTAGGGTACTGTAGGGAAAGTATCGGGAGAGACAAGTTAAGTCTTCAAAGCACAGAAGTATTCTAATAAACCCAGATTTGGTGAATTAACTTTCAGAGTTTGTATTTACAATATCATTTATTAAAACATAGTATTTAAAGTGTGTTACACATTTATTAAATATGCCTTGCTAATGAAAATGATGACAATTAATATTGATATTATCAATAACAATATCATTAGCATTAATGACATTGAATATTAATAGCATTGATATTATAAGTTATTGATATTAAAATAATTATATTAATAATATTGAAGGGCTACCAAATACTAAACACTAGACCACCAGTAAGGGAAGAGATTAATAATATTGAATTGTAATACATAATTAACAATGGATGAAAACAAAAGTTTTTATTCACATGTACATGTGGAAACCAGGTAGGAAACTAACATATAAAATGTGAGTTTAGCCTTCCTAAATTCAGTATATTTATTGCAGAGAAATACTTAATAAATACGGATATTTTGTGTCTCTCATAGATTTCCTACTTCATATCACATATGTCAAATATTGACCATAAGCTTATTCTCAATGGCTAGTACACATAAAAGTAACATTTCAGTCTATAATTCTAGTAACAACTTATGTAGTACAAAAGATAGGAAGAATCTACACTTAAGCTATTTAAACTGATGTGAGCAAAATACTCTGGAATGTGGAAGGGGCTGTGATCTTATGACCTTAATACATTTAGTTTTTCGAACTAAATATGGATATAAAATACTTAAGTTTCATATTAAAGGACTGAACTGTACTCGGCAAAACACTTTTCAAAGACTTGGGTGTCTTGAAAAGTAACAACATTTGTTAAACAATCTACTGTATTAGACACTTTGTTACTGAAAAAGTAAAAATAACATTTCCACTCAGTTCTAAGTGTATATAGGTTAGAGCATGAATTTATATGGATTTAGAAGAGATTTATCTCCCTTAGAAAAGAATGACAAATCTTCCTATAAATCCATTTTCAGTACAAACATACTATGGTTCTTATAAATAAACTGATCTGGGTTAGGAATATATTCCATCAAAGTAATCCCATCTTTTCATAGTAATGAACAATGTATCAAATAAAGCATCGGATGTGATACTTCTCGACTTACAATTTATACTGGATTATTATCAGTAAACAAAACTGTGGCTGAAATTGCACTTACTTTTTCTGAGTTTAAAATTAGAAATGAATGATTTCCAAAGCATGCAAAGTGTGTTTTGATCTTATTTTAAGAAGGTTTATTAGATAAAGTTTCAAAGAGATTTAGCTAATTTTTCAAAAGGTTAAAAGACTTTAGGGGTTGTCATTGGCAGTTTTTGACTCTAAGTTCTTTTTTTAGCTCCCCGTAGCTTCTTACATGCTGGGTTAACACATGAAGTGCCTGATGACTATGCTCTCTAGGGTTGCTTGTAATTTTGTCTTGTGTTATTCTTGTTTGAGTCATGACTCATAACTAACTTATCTTACTAGCCAAACTGTTCCAAAAATACATCATATCCATATATAAAAATAATAAATTAACTTGACAAACAATGGTTGTTATCTTGCTTCTATTGGGACGTTATCTTCCTTTTTATTCTCCAGAAAACTTTCACATACATATAACATGAGAAACTGGAAAAAAACCCAGTAACTATCAAATTACTTCTAAAAGACAAAACGTGGAAGTAATAATGGGAGTAAAACTAAGTAATATCTAGTCACCAAAAACCACAAGTGTTTAAGTCATCAGATACAAGTTTTGAAGGTCTTCCTAAAGAACAAGTGCACTTTTAGCCTCTCAAGTTTCTCAGGAAACTTCTGGCATCAGTGAGTCCTACAGGTGGTCAAAGATCTTGTTTTCAAGGATCCATACCCATACCTCAAGGAACTCTCAGACTGGGGCCTTTGATTGTTTAGATGTTTTGAGAATTTTATTCATATATACAATTATGTTGATCATATCCACCACCACCACCCTTATTGCCTTTTCTAAGTCCTCTACTGCCTTCTGTGACCATATCCTACCTCTAACTTCACTCTTCTTTTTATGTTTCTTAACCCATTGAGTCAATTATTTGTGCCCTTATGTGCAGTTGTGCAGGCCTTCCAGTAGAGCATAGAACAAACCATCTTTTTTCATTATACATGCCAATCCAAGCTCCCACTCCCTCCCCATTTCCCATTCCCTCCATTTACTCTCCCCCACCCCACCCCCATTCACTCCTGGTTACTTTTACAAATCTGTGATTTGCTTTTTAGGAGGTGTTTTTATTTATGTATAAGATCTGCACTTGATCAGGTTGTTTGTACATATTAAGAGTGCTAAACTTTATCATTTCGGATGTGAAAGCAGCTGTGAGCCCACTGGTATTTGTGTGTACATGTTTACATATTGAGATTTTCTCGCTGGTAATTTAAATATTTTCTCTTCTGTTTTATTCTTGTATTTTGTTGCTTTAAATTCTTTGTACTCTTTTTTTTCTTTTTCAGTACTGTCAAATATGAAAATGTTTCTTGTAGCCATCTGCTTCGAAATAACACATTTCCCCTTTATTAGTAAAATTTCAAAAGTTTCTAATGTAATTTAAAATATTTCTTGATTCAAGTTTCAGTGTAACTCAGTCTTCTCAGGTCAACCCTTGGCTCAGGTGGCTCAGTCAAACTTGATGTTCACTTTCAGTGTTGTGTCGTTGTCTAGCTGATCGTCTTCACTTGTCATTTCCCCCTTCCAGAAGATTCCAAATGTCCTTTAAGCCACATTCACTTATTAATAAGGTTTTATTTTTAAAAAGAAAAATTTATGGAATATTACTGCTTCTTTTTTCACATCAATATTTATTTCATACCTTAGGAGTTTGTAATCTTTCTGAAAATAATCAGAAAGCATTGTTTTAAAGTGTTCATGGAATACCATCTCTTCGTTGCATATCCATTTTTTTTTACTTTAAAGTGTAAAGACTACTTTTCACCTTGAAAGCTATTTGACACAGATATTTGGTCACATTTGACCCATGGTGTGAAATTTTCCAAACCCTGCTCTACTTCAGAAGCCATCTCACAACTTTAGACTTTGCAGCTACCAAGTTTCCCACCAAGCTTCATATGTTTCTGTAATTGACCCATCCCCGTTTATTTTTCAGTGTACCTAAGATTTGTAGGGTTTTCAGAAATTGATGATGAATGACAGTGATGATGGCAGAGTTTTTGTTTAGGCAAAACTATGATTTATTATTTTGCAAACAAAATAATTAAACCCCATGCTGGTCAGTTCTTTTAGATTCTTTTATCACTTAGTATGATTTTTTTTTTCAAAGAATTAGTTTGGCTGATCAACTCTTAAGACTCCAATTGTATTTTTGTTTCCAAATTTGCACGGTGCTAATGACATTAGCTAAACAGCATCTGAAAGTCTATTCATACCGAAATCACCAATAGTAAAATAACTTTTAGAATTTATCAAATATTAAGCTTCATTTTCATTCATTCTATTTAAATTTCACTATATAACTTTTTGCTTTATAAGATAATAAATCAAATGATCACTGATATATATAATTCTCCAAAATATCCCCACATGCTAGTTTTTTTTTTCTCCGAGGCACACTCCTATTAAAATCACCGTGATAACCACATGAATATGATAGATGATTCGTGCAGATTGCACTGTTGAGTGACTTCCCAACTCCAGCTTGCTTGCCAAGGCAGGAGAAAGTTTGAGCTCTACCTGTGGAATCTTCTATGAAGAAATGGTTCTTTAGCAGCATGTGGAGGGACTGGGGAACAGCTTTTGTT